TGGTCCATACATGCGTTCCTACAACATGTACTAAAGCATTTCCAAAAAGCGGACCTTGCCCTGAAAGACCTCCCTTGTGAGGGGCTACTGCTTTGGAAAGGATCTTTTTACTGCGACTCATAATGCTTCAATAAAAAATGGTTGTGGCTTCTGACAGTTCTTACTTGAGAACCATCTTGCCACATTCATATTTTCTTGTAGCCAAAATTTCTATGTTGCCAGTAATAGAAGATCCTTTCAAAAGCAGAAACCCTATCTTCGCAAATAATGGGTGTGAGCCACATTACAGAAAAAATTACCGAACGTATGTTCGGTAACTGTTGAAGTAGTTAAAGAGATGAAGCTGAAGTAGCATTTCGATCAGATCTCTCGGTCCAGTAGCATTTATGCTACACTGATATTGAACCCTCTCTGAAGTCCGTTTTGCCAATAAGTACATTGAGTAGAGCACTTTTGCCCTGACGATTTTCACGCAGAGCTTCCTCTAGAATTTCTTCAGTAGATGACACATTTTCAGCATCAATCGTTACGCCCCATCCTCCCAAAGCAGCTGCCACTTTATCATAGTGGGTTCTCTGAACGAAATATAGTTCAAAACAAGATTTTTGTATAGAAGGTTCACATAGTAACCGAATACAATGGAGTTAACTATAATTAAGGAGCTTTTACCGCCAAGTCAACTGCAACACTGCTGTCAAACATCGGAATTTGCTCTCGAGCAATCTGAGACCAGCAAGCATCGTTACCAATAACACCAATAACTGGCAACTTGTGCCGAGTAAATGTATCGTATTCCATAATGGAATAACCAGATGACCCATCTCCCCAGAGAATATACACTGGACGGTCAGGGTGAACCACCTAAAATGAGATCAGAAAAGTGAAACTGGAAAACTATGAGAGACTATTCATCGGATGATGATTTTTTACCAACTTTGGCTCCAAGTGCAAATCCGCCACCTACACCGAGTGTACCAAATGCTCCAGGATCAAGCCACTGTAATGGACCACGTGGTCGTACGATGTATGCTGCTGATCCAACAAAGTCACCACCATCTGCCACCAAAATAGCATCATCAGGAAGTTTCTGAAACAATTGTGACTAAACAAGAAAGATATTTATGTAACATTGTCAGGCTTCTACAGTTACATGGTCGTGAAAAAAAAACTTCAAAAGCATCCAAAAAGTTCCCGGGAGAACATTCTACTGCCACTGGCCTTCACTCGTATCACCTGTCGTCCCGTATAGTCGATAACTCGAGCCGGCGCAGAGTGTCATCAGTGTTCGTTTAGGTCCGAGGGATTAATCGGTAACCGCCTGGTCCAACGGTCATCGCAAAATCGCATGACGTGTCCGGCCCACCTTATCTTCGATTCCTTGGCGAAAACGGCAGCGTCCCTGATCTTCGATCGTTGGCGTAGTTCCGAACTCCGGATTCCCCTCTGCACTTGCGTGTATAGGGTTACTCCTAGCATCGTCCTCTCGACAGCGCGTTGGATAACGCTGACCGCATGCTCGTCCTGCCTGCGCAGAGTCCAAGTCTCTGAGGCGTAGGTTAGGGCAGGAAGGACAGCGGAATCGAAGAGGTGGGCACGGAGCCGATGTCTCTGGCCTTTTTTTGCCTTATCCCCTCGATGGTTCTTAAATAACCCCCATCTCTTCCTGTCAACCTCCAAGAAGCTAGGTCGTTCTTCATGTTGATTTCCCGGTACACCTACGTACACGTAGCTGGTAAATTCGGTGACGTTCGTTCCATTGAGCGTGAATGGGGCAACAGGAACCAATCCATTTCTCATAAACATCGTCTTGGCTAGCTTCAGCTGCAGAACAACCGCGTTACCGAACAGCGCAGTCGAAATCAGCCAGGCAATTCGCAGCTGCGCCTCGATTCGCTTTATAAGAACATTATAGGAGTGTGCTGGCCGTCACGCATCACTCCTAAGTCTTTTCCCATTCCAACGAAGCAGACGCTTTCGATGCGGCACTGAAGTTGCTGATTGGGCGCCCTGTCGAACCCCTCTCTTGACGTCGATGATGACCTCCTTGTAGAATGGTGAGATTCTGGTCGTAAAGTTGCTGTAGAGCTCACGAAGAATCTTGATGTACTGAGTAGGGACGCCCTGGTTGCCCAAGGCTTCGATGACCGCTTCTGTCTCCACAGAGTCGAAGGCCTTCTTCAAGTCGATGAACGTGAGACAAAGCGGCATCTTGTACTCTCGTGAAACTTCAATGAGTCTTGTAACCGTGTGGATATGGTCGATCGTGCTGAACCCTCTTCGAAACCCTGCTTGCTCGCATGGCTGTCCTTCATCTAGTATTCTGCCGATCCTGTTAAGGATGACTCGAGTGAATAGCTTGTAGATTACAGACAGCAGGCAGATTGGGCGATAGTTGCCAATGTCGTCCAAGTCTCCCTTCTTGTAACAACACGGTCCTGCTGGTTTTCCACGGAGTGGGTACCTTGCATTCCGACAGGTAGCGCGTGAAGAGTCGAGCCAGAGTTTTGATGATAACTGGCGGCGCATTCTTCAGATGTTCCGGTTTGACCCTGTCGAGACCGGGTGCTGTACGATTCTTCACCGACTTGATGGCGTGTCGGACTTCGGAAGAGAGAACTGAGGGACGACGTATCCATCCTGTTGCAGTTGATAAGTAGGCAGATGGACATGGCTATCGAAGAGATCCGAGTAGAAGTCGTGGATGACTTTCTCCATTGCCCTTCGGGATGCAGTAACTGTTCCATCCGGACGTCGGAGGCAGGTCATCTTGGTCTTGTAGCTGGCAAAGCTTTGGCGGGTTAATTCATGCCACCAGGGTGGAAATCGCGTCGAGGATTTGGTGGCAGCAGTTAGGGGTGGCCCCTCAAGTCGGGGTTTTGATGCGACCCCCCTAGCTTTGATTTGATGTAAATTGAGAAGTTCCATTATGTGTAAAAGTATGCAGTTGCAGCGCAGTTTATCCCCGGGTCACATTATCTGTAGCCCCACCCCAACCTTGGAAATCCACTCTCTTTGAAAAAGTTGCCATTCTTCCATTTCATAACCTCTTGAGTTCTGGTGAACTCAGATGGAGCTAGGTTTATTATCGAGCAGGATTACTGCTCTGAAAGCCCTTCACTCGGCGGCAGAGAGCCTCTCGAACTGCGTCGAGTCACAGTCAAACAGGCTGAAATTTGCATGAGAATTTTTGTTATTCAAATGGCAAAATCTCCCTATTTCGTGAGGACATTAAAAAGGAAATAGTATTGAAAAGGGAAAATTCGCGCTTTCAAATCGTCTGTATTGCTTCTTTCTTTTCCTAGTTGAGGGAAAATTTGCGTCGAGGATTCATTGAGGACGATTCTCGGCCATATCGCTTCCTTCTTCACCATTGCGAGCTAATTCATTGGCAACTCTCGAAATTTCTCTAGAATACACTTTCTCAAAGTAAGCTATAATGAAGGGGCAATCGCTATACATAGTCTGAGTCCGTCTCGGTATAGGCCACGCATCCGACTACTATTCATAATTGCAGAATCAATTGAAAGTTGTCCGATGATGACCTGCTAGCGGAAACTGCACTGTAGTAAACACATTCGTAACTCCTACAAACTAATATGTATTGCTTTCAAATACGCCCTTCTCATAGAGCTAGGGGAATGGAGCAACTGAAGCTGCAAATAATATAATATATTTTATCATGTTTTGCCCACATGTCCTCGTTTTCCGCTGTGTTACATCCTCCCTAATGACCTGGTGCGAGGTTGACAACGCTATTATCCACCCTGACAAATATGATCCCCATTCCACGACTTCTTCGAGCGATATCCACCTGTATCCCACCACTAGCCAAAGCAATCTTCGTAATTTTGTTGGATGCGTCGTACAGCACGCGGCACTGGTATTAGACAGATTGAAAACAGCTTTCAAAACCGTACCAGGTGGTGAAGATCTCATTACACACGGCATCTTCGACCTATCATCCTTCCTTTGTTAACAAAACTTAGGCAATTTTTAGAGTCCCAATGAGGTGATGTCATTAAGCTTTTTAGGAAAACGCAAGTTGAACGCTTTTTTTACCCAATATCATGTAGTTCTGCAGATAAAAACAAAAACAACAAAGAATAAGTCACAATATAGGAGAAAGTATCACTCAAAAGAGATAAATGAGAGGAACAATACGTTACATCTTGTCCGTAGCGTTCAAGCTCGACTATTAACCATCCCGAGCAATTCCTTGAAGCGATGTCTAACGATGCCAACAAGCCCTTGAAATCAGGTAAAAGACGGCCAGAAAGATACACGAAGGAGGAAAAAAACAGAGAAATGGCCTACGAAAGCCGCGGAATAGGACCCTTCCACCGTGGACATTGTACGAATCTCATGCGTGATGACCGACACTCAATCTTTCCTGCCAGGGCAGGAACATCAGCACATGAGACAACGTGAGAGAGGGTGGCTTACGATTGGCCAATCAGGCTCCAGGACATACGAACTGTGCTGCGCGGTGACCGCCGCGGGAAGGCCATACTAGATCGCCGGGGCATACTTCTCAATGAGAATCGCATGTCGGTCCGCACTCTTAAGAGGTCCGCCTGTCTCCATTAGGTGAGTTGCCCCTTCCTCGATCTTCGCCCCTATCGAGAAATCCTCTTTTGAGCATTTTTGTCAGAAATTGCAACACATGGGATAAATCCACATAGGATGAGACGTAGGAGAAGGAAATCCTCACTGCGTAAACCATTCGCTTTCTCTTTGGCAGACACCCTCCCCCTTCCACGCAAAATTAGGATAACCGTATAGGATAACACGAAGTGTCACACTCTTGATCATTCACTGAACAGACTCAGAAACTGTGTTTGAGCGGGTAGTGGCTGAACGCCTTTGTCCCTCCAGGCACCGAAGAATGCGATAACACCAAAGCATTGTTCCAGTAAATAGCTGCTCACAACTCCAGTTGTTAGCTGAACTACTCTGATTTCTATAGTGATAATTACCTTGTCTAGGCGGGCGAGGAAGTTTAATGGATTGATGAATCCATGTGCCAACTCCTCCGTGGCTTTCGATGCGTTTTTGGCCTCCTTTTCATCTTCTCTCCTTCTCAATTCGTCAATCCAGTCAGATGGTACCTTATAGCCAGTCTATAAAGGGATATGTGGATTAGTTCTCGATAACGCTTCTAGATTTACCCACGATCTTCTACATACAAAGCAGGAAAATGCGCTATACCTTTTCGATGTGACTGGCAATTTGAACAAGAGAAGAAGCAACGTCAGCTTGCACGGAGACGTCGGCGTTCCAGAATGCCTTCTCATTCTGTAACAGTCAGTATCAATTTCAACTGTTCACAAATGTTAGTATTCACAATCAATCAGCATCCTTGCAAAAAAATTCACATATCATTGTATCTATATTTTATACTGTAGCGTATCCTCCACTGATTGCCTAACAGAACATTTCGCATTAAATTATATGAGGTAATGGTAAGACCACGGGTAGCTGCACGGTAGCTTGCATTAATGGCAGACTGGCTGACAAGTCTCGATATCGCAGGTCTCTAGTGTCGCGCGCTCACTATACACGCCACGTGCGCAGGGAAGACACCGATGTAACTTATGCAATTTCCCTGTTTCGCCTCAATCGACCGAACCGCTCCATTGTTACTGGGTGTGTACAATTTCGTGATAAACTAAATTTAGTTCGATTCCGGTAGTAAACGAAAGTTGGTGGGCATAAAAGTTGCTAAATATGCATTAGGTTGTCCCAAAATTTCTGACCGATCGACACTTCCCTTTCTTCAAGTTATATTTTTCCTGAAAAAAAAACAGAATTATGACCACTACCCTGATA